TAAAATTCCTCTGGGTGCCTGCACATGTGGGTGTGGATGGAAATGAGGAAGTAGACTTGCTAGCAAAGAAAGCATTAAATCATACACAAATAGAAATTAAGTTCAATTCAAGAGAGTGATATCAAGAAAGAGTAAGTAAGAAATGGCAACAGTTATGGAATAATGGGTCTAAAGGAAGACATCTTTTCCAGATTCAGGAGTGTGTTGGAAATGAGAGGAAAAGATACGGAAATAGGAAGAAAGATGTCATCTTATCAAGACTAAGAATCGGACATACAGCATTAAACTATAGTCTTTATAAAATAGGTAAGCATGAATCGGGAAAGTGTGACAAATGTGGAGAATTAGAAACAGTGAAACATATTCTTTTTGAGTGTTCTGCATATGAAAGGGAGAGATTTCAATTAATTCAAGAATTAGGATGGCTGGGAGTTGATAATATTTCTTTAAAAGTATTGTTAAGAAATGGGTCGAGGCAATCAAGAGTGCAAGAAAATATGTTTAAATACCTGAAAAACACAGGAACAATAGATAGAATCTAGTTTTTTTTTTTTTTCCCTTCTGTATTTCTTTCTTCCCAATTTATGCACACTCCACACTCCAGATCAGTAGGTGGCGGTAATGCACCTGGTTTGCAAAACCGCCATAAAACACCAGAAGAAGAAGAGTTAGGAGTTGAGTGTGAGTAGTCAGGGAGTTTGTATAGTGTTTTTTCGAGTTATTGCATGCTTTTCATAACTGGTTGGAGCGATTTGTTTTTGGACAATGGCTTCAAGAACTTTTTTTTTTGGTGTGTAGGCTGTTTTGAAGGGGCTTGATCGGCTGAGTGACACTGAAACTTGTAGCAATGATAGCTTCGACTCGGTCAGACAAGCTGCTTACGACGCTGGAGAAGATCCTTCCTGAGTTTGAGTAAGTGCACATTTCGAACTTATAAACGTTGTATTGGTGCATTTCATAAGCAAATGCATGCTATTATACAAATATGCATGCAACAGATATACAGAAATACATGCGTGCAAAAATATATGGTCACAACACACTGCACATTTGCACGCGATAATTCAAATAATCATGGGTGCTTTTGCTAAGCATGTGCTCATTTCTTTTTTGGCGCGCACATACATGTGCTAATATAATGTTGCATGTCTGTTGCATGCATATTTGTATTTTTGCACGCATTTGTTCATCAGTTGCATTGATACATGTATTTTATTTTATTTGATTGACATCTGTTTCGTGTATACATGAAATGCATTCTACATGTTTCTGCTACTATCATATTTGAATCAGTTCTCATTTATTTTTGCATGCACATGTATTAGTGTATCTGTTATGTGGATTTGCAGATGATATTCTTGTATCCATGACATGGATATGCAAGTTATTTTGGTGATTTTTATGTATTTATGTAATTGAATCATGCATTTCAGAATTATAATGTGGATTTATAAGTTTATTTTGTTTTGCAGTCTAGACTCCAGTGTTGAAGAATTGCTGCCAAGCACCAGCAAGGAGGTTGTTTGCCTACCCCCCACCTCCAAGACCCCCACACCTACTGCTGGTGATACTGTGAGGCCACAGCCAATTCCTGTGCTTGGTGCCATCTAGAAACTGTTTTAGAAAATGGCACACTGATGGACACTCTTGAGAAAGATTGCAACCGATGAAAACTGTTGACAAAGCAACAAACAAAAACTAAAAGTTGGCCTCCATTTTTTTTCTATAGCAACTTATTGACATTTTTTATAGTTGTTATATTCTGTATATAGTTATTTTACATATTAGATTTGTATATTGTGTTTTTGCACTGCTTTTTGCACATTTTTCTCTATATATTTGATTTATTTTCTTGGAGTTTATTATCTTGTGCATAATAAAATGCAAGAACTGCTACTTACTCTCATTTTGCTTAGGTATATAATACACAACATGGGTCAAGTTAGGTGATAAAGTGTTGGATCATTCTCTTGTCAAGTGTAAAGCATAGTAAAAAGTGTTTTACAGGTAATAAGCCTGTTTTTGAATAATTTGTGTTTATGGATGAAAATGGGAGACTTCAGAAAAGACATTGCCTCCCTTCAGTTAAAGCTCAATAACTTTTGTGAAGGTTATAAAAGGATAAAGCTTTTTTTCTCTATTTACTGGCATATAGAGGATTCAAAAGAATTCCACAGAGGCCCAAGACAACAGGATGTTCGTAAATCAGATCCTAGCACTAGCCAGTCTGAAGCAAGCCTAACCAACTCTTTCACAGAACAGCTTTCAACATTAACACAAAAGGAACACACTGATCATAACAAATCAGGAAGGAGATTGTCAATTTTAGGGCAAGTAATCAAGATTAAACTTCCAGCCAATCAGCGACCGCAGGAAACCCCCTGTTCTGCAAGGACCACAACAAAGGGAACCCCCGTACAGGCAACGCAACTTTCAGATCCTAGCTGAACTGGTGCATTTAATACAAATTTTAACCTCATTGAGGAACTCAATGCGAGGGTTAATTAAGTGATTGATGGTTGTTCAGATCTATACAATTGCACATATTGCTGAAACTTGGGATTTCACATTTTCATTCTCTTAAACTAATTATTTCCTCACTTTCTCTCTTTCTGCAACTTGTGTGAATGCGTGTGTTTATGTGTTAGATTAGTTTATATGTTTTAGATTTTTCTAATAAAGATTTTTATTTTTCCAAAACTTTGGAAAAAGATAAGTATCTTGTGTTTTGTGCTTACAAGTTAATGTCTTAAACTGCCGATCTTGTTACTGTGCTAATAAATAGTGTTTTCACTATACTTTGGGTATCAATATCCATTGCAGAATTTATGTTATAAAGTAACATACTGTAGCTGTGAGTACCTCACCTTCAGCATTATAATTATTTCACCCGTGCCGGACAGAGAATGAGACGGTGCCACTGCATGTCATGCCAAACCTCTCATGGCAGCGTCATCAGCTTGAGATCATTTTTTTGAGATCTGCCTTTTAGAGACGGGGCTTTCCTGATAACTTTCCATGATGCAGCCCTCTTTATTTTACTAACTTACTGCATGCTGAAGGTGACCCAGCTGACCTCACCAGAAAAAAAACTCAACACCACCATCTAGTGGATTGTAAAGAAATTTAGTTTATTATTCTACCAAATAGTATAATAAAAGATCGATACTTGGAGTCAGTGTATCGATACAGTATTGCCGCGGAAAATATCGTGATACTATGCTGTATCGATTTATCCCCCACCCCTATAATTTATGATGATTACCAAAACATTTGATAAAGAAAAAGGACAACAACAAAAAAGAGCGCCAAGCGTCCCACAGGTAGGACGGTGACAGTTAAGGTTAATTATTTTCAACAACTTGTTTTTTTTTTTGTTTTTTTTACCAACATTAGTTACCCTAGTACTCTGCTGTGGTATTGGGAATTGTGAAATTTTGCTGGTCTCTAAAACGTAAATGTCATGGCAACCTTATACAGAAAATACATATTTCATAAATATCACTATCTTTAAATAAACCTTGTGGACATATGGCCCACGCATAATCGTGTTAAATAATCGTGATTACAATATTGACCAAAATAATCAGGATTATGATTTTTGCCATAATCTAGCAGCCCTAAAACTCTAGTCTACCACATCCAGTTCTCAAAAGTCTCGTGAGCAAACATTTTGTATGTGTTTAATGACCTTACTTTAGTAACTTAAAAATGTTGTTTTATTTACTAACCACGCATAAACATTGTTTGCTCAAGAGGAGAGTTAAAGCTTTGTAAGCCTAATGTACCACAAACAGTCATTAAAGATGAATGAAGAATAAAGACCAACCTCTTTGTTCCTCGTGTTTTATTCTCCGGGGTTCTGGTTCCTCGTGTTTTATTCTCCAGGGTTCTGGTTCCTCGTGTTTTACTCTCCAGGGTTCTGGTTCCTCGTGTTTTACTCTCCAGGGTTCTGGTTCCTCGTGTTTTACTCTCCAGGGTTCTGGTTCCTCGTGTTTTACTCTCCAGGGTTCTGGTTCCTCGTGTTTTACTCTCCAGGGTTCTGGTTCCTCGTGTTTTATTCTCCGGGTTTTTGCTTCACTCGTGTTCTCTTCACTCTCCTCTTTAACAAACAGCATCTTCACAGCAGCAGATCTCAGTTCAGATGATACTCCTCCAGATATTCCTGCTTGCTTCAAAACTTAGTCACGACTGTGAGGATGAGAATATTACAGGTCTTTATTGACCTGATCCAAAAACTGTATTTCTCTTTTTACAGAAACTACATTTCTAACCGTTTGTATTAAGCCAGCATCACGACAAAACAACAGAGAGCGCGGTGAAACTAATCTTCTTCCTCTGAGGTTTCATGGTGTTTGGCCAACAAACACATGTGTTTTAGCGCCACCCGCTGGACTGGAGTGTGAAGCGGCGAGAGGAGGGAAATAATACGGGGTGCACAAGGTGCGATTTGTTTTCCTGTAAAAAAAAAAAAAAAAAAAAGGCCGATCTGCACAAAAAAATAAAATAGATTAAAATTATAGACTCGCATGGTATTTAATCAGCATCAACAGGCTTCGTGATTGAGGATCAGAGGACAAACGAGCGAATTATATTTCATTGAATATCACACAGCGTTGCAGCATGTAAATATGGAAATTAAGATAAATTAAAACACGTAACAATGATAAGATGGTGTTCTAAAAAAGCTTTTAGCATTTAGGTTTAGCATGATTCTTATACTGTCATGTAGTTTTGCAACTGATCGTTATTTGCTTCTCTTGTAAGAATCTGAACCTAGTATTAAACAAGCCCTGGGGTTAAAATCTGATGTGTCTTGAGGACTTTATGGCTGCTGTGTGCATGTGTCTGTTAAGTTCACATGACTGTAGTAATACATTATTATAAGTTTACACCACTAATCTATAACAGATTACTGGATTGCTGATGATGTTATAGAAGTGAAGCCACTGCACCGTCATATTGCCATTCCCTAGTGCTCCCATATATTCTGTTGAATTAACAGTAAATCGTACAATTTTTATAAGAAAACCACCTAACGATTCAGCTTTATTATATCTGAAGTATTCCTAAACGTTCTTAAAACACAAACGTGCTTCATGTAAAAGGTTTTATTAAGATTTTAATGTTGGGAATTTCCCCTGCCTATTAAAAAAATAAAGTATCATATTCATTACAGTATTGAACATCAGATTGCACTGTATTTTATGTATGTTCATTTTTATTCTTAACAGATTTAATTAATTTTAAATCAATTTTTTAATCATTTTATAATTTTGAAAATCCTTGTTTTTATCATTGTGATTATTTTTTATGATTATTTGAATTCCTTATATATGTAAAGAAAGTTGAATTACCATTGTATGAAATGAGCTATATAAATACATTCCTTACATTAATAATTATTTCAACATAAATCCATAACATTTCACTCCTATGGAAATTGTGATGCTAGAAGAAGATAGATGAAATAGATGTTGCTCAATCAGAACATAAATAAATTCACACATCGTAACATCATTCAGAGAAATAATGTTGACACACTGCTTTACGCTGCTTTATTCCCAAGATGATGCATGGTAAGCTTTACATTTTAATAAAAGTGTTCATGTGGCTCAGTGGTAGACCATTGCGTTAGCAGCGCAAAAGGTCATGGGTTCAGTTCTAAGGAAACACACATACTGATAAAAAAATGTATAGCCTGAATGCACTGTAAGTTGCTTTGGATAAAAGTGTCTGCTAAATGCATAACTATAAATATAGAACAACATAGTAACAGAGGCGCTCAGACCTAAGGATGAAGCTTTACTTCTTGAAGCTCTGGAGAGATTATCTGAGACAAAGCTGATGAAATTAGTTCAGAACAACAGAACTTCACTGATCTGCTCAGAGGTTTTCAGTTCAATGCTCTGCTCTTCTCTAAGATCAGGAATCAAATGCATGACATGAGTAATGAGTATCTATCTAGAATCTGCACTGGAGATGAGTGGAGTGTATTTATCAATGTATCCACCTTTAATTCCCCAAACCATGCAGTCTTTCTCCACTCCTGCACACACTAGTGCTCTTTACAGAGAGCAGAAGCTGCTGTGGAAAGCCCAGGTTTTTCTCAGTGATCAGAAACGCTCTAACAATGGTGCTTCATGTCATTTTTCTCCTGTCAGAACAGCTTTGCTAGCAGCATTTGTTTCAAAACAGGTTGATTCTCAGCCAAAAATCTAACAATATATTAGCCAACAGCTAGTCATTATTTAGTCGAATTTAATATAATGTCCTTACATGCTCGCTGCTGCTCTAAAGGGAAATATGAGAAATACTGTGAACTGCTCTCTTTGACGCTGACTGAACGAGGGAAGTGATAGAGGTGGTGACGTCATCGGCTATCAATGGTAGATTATCGAAAAAAAGCCAAATACTGTACACAACGACAAAACATCCATAAAAATCAACAAAACCTAAATAAATAAATGATTGAATTAATGAATAAATAACAAAAAAGATCATCTTTATTCTGGCTGAACTCTTTCTGCTGGTTATGTAAAGTTGTGGTGAGATGGAGACATTAATCTTTTCAGTTTATTCTGTAAAAACTGTTGTTTAAAACTCATAGAAATTGTTCTTCATGAAGCCTCTTGAATGAAACATCAACCTGACTAGACCAAACTCTTTGAAATATGATTATGAAATCTAAACCGTAGACAGACAGAAATCTCATTCAATGTCAGTCATGTGTGGGGTGAAATATAATTTATTAGGCATTTTAAAGCTCTAGTGAGAAAATTAAAACATGGAAAGCTCAAAAGCAAATGGCTTTCACAAGTAAATTTATTAAATTAATTTTGATGCAAGCAGAATGAACAGAAAATCTAAATGGAAAATAAGTTGTAGAAAGGGAAACAGGCCAATTTAGCTCAAAAGGAACTGTTGATGATATTTATAGGGAATTTGGACAGAACCACTGTTTTACGGCTGATCAGTCGGCCAGTGATTCATTAAACGAGCCGTATAACATCAACTCTGCAATGGATATTAATATCCAAAATATAGCGAAAACACTTTATTAACACAGCAACAATATCAGCAGTTTAAGACATTAACTTGTAAGCACAAAACACAAGATACTTCTCTTTTCAATATAAATTAGACTTTATTGGATAAATCTAAGACATATAAACTAACCTAACACAAAATGCAATGGCAAAAATGCACAAAGCCAAAAAGTGGTGGCAAAAAGCCCCAAAAGGCTACATTTGTTGGCGTCCTGAGTTTTTAAACTCGGCTGTTGGACACATCCCAAATGGTGACTTGATCAATTAGACATTATCTTAGCTCGGGGGGTTGCTATGCTTCTCCTCCCAATACATAAATCAACGTGTTATCTTATTACTCACATAGTCCGAATTTCCCCGCTCTTGCAGAGTATAATTCAGACATGATTCCTATAACAAGAATATAATACATTTGACAAAGAATTGACTGATAGAAAGATTTTAAAGAAAGATTTTCAAAAACATGCATAAACTAAACATGAAAACAAACCTATAAACTATTCAATACGCATTTTCATGAGACCGGGCTCGACAATCTGCTATCATGAGAGCTCAGTAAATGCTTTTGTGCTGAATTATTTTGCAGGGAGGAAGAACTCGCAGCATAGAGAGGAAATAGTGATTAATACAATATTAGAATAAAATACTCTCAACAAATAACAGGCCAGATTACAGCAAGATTTATCTTCATGTCAATGATATTATCATGTCTTGATCAAACACATGGCTTGTTATTGTTTTGCTGGCCATGTGCTTGTGTTTTTGTTTTGTGAGCACATGGCTTTTGTCTTGTTTGTTTCAGTGTGTCATGTCTATTGTCTTGATGTTGTCCAGCTGATGGAAACATTGAGCCAATGTGATGGAAACATCAATCTGACGTGTGTAGAAACACCTGAGCAGAAACAGTTCAGATACTGTGTCTAACATTCATATAGAGTCAACAGAAATCTGATTTCAGTTCAAAGTGAAGTGAAGTGACTTCAGAAAGTGAGCTGATTGAAGCAGAGACATGAGGACAGCACATCTGGCTGATGTCCACACTGAGCTTTCTGGACTCATTTCTAGTGTTTAGCTCTGGATTAATCATGAGGATCAAACAGTGAACACAAAACACCAGTTCTGCTTCTTTACTGAGATCTCACACATTAATGCTGAATGTGTCAACTGTTAGATGAAAAACACAAGGCAGGATGAACACATTGCTATTGTGCACATACACAGAAACTGTGAAGCATGGACCCTTTACTTTCATTAAAACAAGGGTTATTTCTGCTGTAGGCTCATTTTGTAAATGCAAGCTATTCATTTAAATTACAGACAATCGTAAACTGGGTGCTTAATGCAAATGTGATTGTTCGCCCATCTATGCAATTGTCTCTGTGTATAGAGACAAAACAATGAGATTAATCACTGTTAGTTTATAGTGATCTTGCATAGCCTATTTGCAAAGACACTGATAAAAGTACACCACAAAACATCTTCAGATCTTGGTTTCATTTCTCATCAAACACAAAACAACTTTAAGCAAATAGTGTTAAATCTAATCTAAATTAATTCTAATTGTATTCTTTTTTTATCTATGTCTGTACTGACATCATATAATTAAGATCAAGGTATTTTAAATGATTACCAATTATTTTTCATAATTTCAAGTATTTGTGCAGACCTTGCATTTATTTCAATGTCAAGATATTGTAATTAGCAGTTCACTTAATTTTGAAGCGCATTTGCTATATCTGATAGTGTTTAAATTAACTGTGTGTCATAAAAGCATTTTGAGATTTGAGAAGTGATCTGCATCTCACTAAATAAAAGTTAAACAAAGTTACAAACTTTACATGTGCATGTGACTGTGACTGTAATAAAATATTGAGATAATTATTCCTTCACGTATAAATCTCTCAATGAGCAAAACTGGTCGTGTATATTATGATAGATTTACATAACATTTTAACTACTTCATTTCAAAATAGGTTTTAAATTATTTAAAAATATATATTTTCCTGGCTTAACAAGGCACTCTTGCAGCAGTGATTGAGACAGAGTTTCACTATCACCTTCACTTAAAAAAAAAAACCTATACAAACTAGTCCTGTTTAAAGGGTTAGTTCACCCAAAAATTAGCCTGTGCTTTACTCACCTTCGAAGCATCCTAGGTGTATATGACTTTCAGACGAACCAAAGTCAGTGGAAGTGAGAGAAAGGTGTTTATTACCTTTGAAATATAGATATTTATCTTACAAAAACGCATGGATTCGCTACAGAAGTCCTTGATGAGCTTCGAAGAACCTAACAATCCTGGCTCATGTCAAATCATCAACAATAAAATCCAGGTCACTGAGTAATCCACGTACAAAGAATGGACTCTTGGTGCTACGTCTATTTACGTGTGTTGCATGTGTTTAAGTTTCAGCGGGTTGATCTCTCTCTAGGCCACTGTAGGGAATCCCTTTCATTTCCAAAAAAAATCTAACCAGCTGGTAGTGGAATTGGGTATATGGTTTGATTAAAAACTAACGTTTAAAATACACATTCAAAATTTTTTTGATAAATGTAAAAAAAATAATGAATGATATGAGATGTTTAGTGGGGAAAGAATGGGGGGCTGAGAGGATGGCTTTGAGAAGTATATATACGGGTCTGATATGATCTGTAATTGATTATGGGAGTATAGTGTATCAATCTGCTGCTAATACTGTGGAGGTGGACAAAGTTCAGTACAAGGCACAAATAATATGTACGGGGGCGATGAGATCTATAGATTGATGCAGTCTCGCAAATTTAAATGAGAGAAATGTCTTTAGGTCTTAGAAGATTTGAACTGTCACTAAGATATTGGGTCAATATATTTGGGCATAATCAAGAACACCCAGATATGGTAGTTCTAAAACCTTTCTGGGAAAAAGAAAATAAAGCAATCAAAAGCTTTGGATGGGAAGTGCCTAGAGTGATAAAAGAAATGGAAATCGGTGAAACTCCAATAAGCCCAACAGACTTGACATTGTTAAGTAAGGAAAATAAGGATGAGTTAAAGTCAAATGCTCAAATAACATATAATGGCATTGCAATGGGTGGAGGAAAATAAGCCAATGGGGACACTTATATGTTCTGATTCAAGTTAATCTTTAATTACAATTAAAACATGTCATTCAGAGGGCAGAGCAGATATAATGATTGAGATTCTTCAAACAATATATAGGATCCAGATGATGGGAATTTATGTAGCTTTCTGTTGGATATCAGCGCATGTGGGAGTAAAAGGAAATGAGTTGGCGAATGGATATGCAAAGGAAGCAACAAAGGAGGTAGACATAGATGTGCAGTGCAGATAAAGTATGGTAAGAGTGAAATGAAGTGTTTAATCAGACAACATGTGAACAATAGATGGCAGAAATATTGGGAAGAAGAAAGAACAGGGAGATGGTTTGATAGCATTCAAAGAATTGGTAAACATAGAGTAACAGGAAGAAATAGACATGATGAAACTATAATCTCAAGGCTTAGATTTGGTCATACTGCTCTTAATAGCGGTTTGAAGAGAATATGGAGACAAGAAAATGGAAATATTGTAATCAAGAAGAAAATGTAAAACATGTTAGAATGACATGTCTACTTGTTTTTAAAACAACAACAACAACAAAAACACTAGGTTTCTTTTTTCTATATTTGGCTAACTGAGACTCATAGCGCTTGTATGTTGTTGCTCTTTTGTTGTATTTGATTGCATATTGTCCTCATGTGTAAATCGCTTTGGATAAAAGCGTCTGCTAAATGTCTAAATGTAATGTCCAAGATATGGCAAGGAAAGAAAGATACTGATTGATGACCTCAAGCAAAATAAAGAGAAATTTGATTTGATAAACATTTTGTGGAAAAATCAGGGGATAAAAACTTTAAACTTATAATGTGGTATTTAAAGGACACGAGATCATATATAGGGAACTCAATGATGATGATCCTGACCCACACTCCTAATAAGTAGGTGGCGGTAATGCACCTAAAAGTTGTGTGCAATCCGCCATTAAAACACCAAGAAGAAGAAGAAGAAGAAGAAGAAGCTGGTCGTGGAGCGCCGTCCACTCTCAAAATTCTCTCCCAGAACTCGATCCGTCC